GCGCTCAGATCTCGCGATGACACGAGCTCTCTCACAAACGCTCACCCTAGCAGCACCTGTCCTTCTCCTCCTCTTCAGTTCGCGTGATGAAACTGATGCAGTAAAAAAAAAGAAAGAAAATAATCCAGCATTCATTTTATGAATAGTTGCAGCTCTGCTTTGTTGGACAAGATTTGAACTGATACAGAAAACAAACATGTGAAATTAAATGTTACATATGGTACAAGACAATTGAAATGGTAAATGCAACTGGGTCCCAATCCCAGAACGGGTCATTTGGCAGATGACAAGGTATGTACTGACAATTTTGCCTAATATTTAATCTGTTATTATTAATCTATTGTAGGAACCTTGCATTATTTGGATCATCGCTAGTGGGAAGTGCACTGGTGTGTGATGGGAAGACAAACATAAAGCAACACTCCCATCTTGAGTTTGAAAAAAGAAAAGCAAGCAAGAGGATTGTTTCTGTTGTTACTCCATCTATTCATAATCTCTTTATAAATACAAACGCAGCTCTGTCATAACCAAAGCATAAGGGAACATGAAAGTGACTGATAATCCTGAAAACCAACAGGTTATGACAAATTAAAGGATGACAAATAGCTTCCAGAATTACTTTAGTGCTCCTTGTTATAGACACTGCTCAACTAACTGGCTAACTTATTAACTAAATAAATAAATAAATAAATAAATACATGAATAAATAAACATAATAAAGGAACGCTTATTCATCACAGTATATTATCAGGTCAGTTAAACTGGGGTATTAATCTGCTCGGTTAAGTAGCAGACAGGGTTGTTAATCAGTTTCAGCCTCTTTGGTATTAATGATGTTAACAACAATTGCAACACTGAGATAACCACTAAAACAGTAATGGTTGTACGGATGGAACCCACTGAAATTTGTTTCAGGATGAAAACTGCCCTATAAAATGACCTTTCTTAGTGGGCCCTGTGCTCACTGCTCAGCACTGTAGAGCCCAGTTGGCATTTTCATAAAATACCAGAATTGTCAGATTGCCCACTGGTGCTGTGTATTTTCACACATACTCACACATACTAACATGAAATCCTTCTTCATGTGACAGATGTGAAAGGAAGACAAGTCATTAGAACTTTAAGCTGCCTTGTTGGGTCTGTGATGGTTGAGGGAGGCATATGGGATGCACAGACCGTGCACATAAAAGCCTGGCCTCATGTGATGCAGTTCCTAGAGGATGAACGATTTTATACCATTGACTGCCCTCCATGCTCACCTGATGTAATCCAATAGAACACCTCTGGGACTTTATGTTTTGGTCCATAGGACACTGCCAGGTTGCCCCTCAGGCTGTCCAGATGCTCAGTCATGCCCTGGAACAGATCAGAATCAGAATACTTTATTAATCCTGAAGGAAATTATGGGTTACAGCAGGCAGCATGCTGGATAGCGCATGCGCACAAACAAAGGAACCCTCTGACCAAACATACCCTACACAAATATCACATTGGGGAGACAGGTCAATGAGGAAATCCCACAGTAAACCATCTGTCGTCTCATTCAGAGTATGCCACAACATTGTCAGTCATGCATGTCAGTCAAGCAGATTGTTTCAACTTTTATTTTTGGGACGTCTCCTAAATTCCTCTGTAGTTTGGTAATTTCCATCAACCCTGACCTTGGCCCTGTCGCCATCAATTGGCACTTTCTCTTCTCTGGCCAAAACTTAGCCCTAAACACAACAACAAACTGCTCCAACAAGAGATATTTGGTCTTGTACCTGCTTAGCTTCCAGAATGAGATTAACCCTTGTATGGTGTTCGGGTCTGTGAGACCCGTGTTCAGTTTTTTTCAAAAGAAAAATTAAACAATTAATGATTTTTTCACGTGTAAATGTGTTGTGTCTTTCCACTCACTCCACTTGATTATAACTGATTTATTTATAACATTTTATATAAAAGAAAAACGAGAAGCACATTAATTCATAAATGTGATCTAACAAAGGTAAAGGGAAAAAATTAACCATGTTTGCTGTTCATATGTCTTGTAATTGGGATGAAGTAAACATCTGTTGAGTAATTTAACATAAAATTGTTTGATAGTGTTAATTTGGAAAGCCAAAACTCTAGTGGGTCCACCAGACCCATGAACACTGGCTGAGTAACAAAAATACGAACACCACACAAGGGTTAAATTGGCACATGCTCAGTGTGTTATGGCAGTACGTTGTTGCTTTGATCACAAAGTAAGAATTTATGGATTCAAAGGGTGAACCTGGGCGTATGAACTCTCACTCAAACCCCAACCCTACCCAATATTCTAAAGCCCTAACCCCATCCTTGGCTGTAACCGTAACCATTGGAGTAACCCAACCCCTGGCCCTAATCCTATTGGTTAGAGTTATTGCTTGTTTTACCAAAAAACTAACATTAAAAATGTATACTCTCTGCCCATTTCCGTATTTTTCCATGATCTTTCTCTACACATCAGGAACATTCCCATTCTGAAAAAACAAGATAAACTTTAAGCCCCTGGTATTCCCAAGTGGTCTTCTATTCAAGTACTAACCAGGCCCAATCCCGCTTAGCTTCTGAGATGAGACAAGATCAAGCAAGCTCAGGTTGATATAGCTGTAAGCTGATCTTTGTAGCACAAACTGGGAATTTATGGATTCGAAGAGTGAACCTAGCTGTACTGTCTCTGTCTCTCGGAACTACAACCTTTCCAATATTCTGAAACCCTAATTTTCTAAAACCCTAACACTAACATGGTACATGTGTATTCTTTCATGGGCCTCTGCCTTATTTTTCAATGCTCTTTCTCTCCACATCAGGAGCAGTACCTTTCTGAAAAACAAGAAAAGCCTATAGAACCTGGTATTCCCAGGCGGTCCAAGTACTAACAAGGCCCCACTCTGCTTAGCTTCGGAGATCACATGAGATAGGGCATGCTCGGGGTGGTGAGCTCGCAAGCTGCCACTTGGAGCAAAAACTGGAAATTTATGGATTCAAAGGGTGAACTTGGGGGTATGTTCTCTCACTCAAACCCCAACCCTACCCAATATTCTAAAGCCTTAACCCCATCCTTGGCTGTAACCCTAACCATTGGAGTAACCCAACCCCTGGCCCTAATCCTATTGGTTAGAGGTATTGCTTTGTTTTACCAAAAAACAAATATTAAAAATATATATTCTTTGGGCTCACAAACTGGGAATTTATGGATTTGAAGGGTTAACCTAGCTGTGCTGTCTCTGTCTCTCAGAACTCCAACCTTCTAAAACCCTAACCTTAACCCCAACCCTGGCTGTATACCTAATCACTGAGGTAACCCAATCACTGGCCCTAACCTGATTGCTCGGATGTTTCTCTTGTCTGATCAAAAAACTAATATCAAAACAGACACTAAACTGTCCCAACTAGACATAAATGGCTTTTGGACATTACTAACAGGTTATACAAAATGGATGCATTAAATGTGTACAATTTAATGGGTCACTGCCTTAATTTTCAGTGCTCTTTTTCTAGACATCAGGAGCAGTGAAAAACAGGAAAAGCTTACAGCACCTGGTATTCCCAGATCCAAATACTAACTATATGTATGTATGCTAAACTGTCAAAAGCTGCTGCCTGTCACACAAACTGGCATTTTATGGATTCAAAGGATAAATCTGGTAGCCACTGCTCCTGTTGCAGAGCTCTTTACTTAAGTGTAAATAAACACTTTGAACTTTCCAACTATTTTTGAGTCTGTTTTGTGAGTTTGTGCAAGAATTCGGTATGACAAAGAGGAAATAGGCCTATGAGCTGGAGGAGCAAAACTGAATAATTTATATGTTAAATTTAGCTCTGCTGTATTTGCTCAGCATTTATGTAGCTACCGTAGAGCACAACACAATGGGATATGAATTACTCAACTTTATCTTGTTGCACACAAACTCTGAATGTCTTACATTTGTTATGTATTTATATGTATGTCTTTTGATTTTGTTATTTTTCACTGCACACATTTCAACATGGAAAATGCACCTTCTCTGTGTGGAATACTTCCGACTGAGCGAGCAAAAAATAAAAGCTGCAACTGAATAATGAAAGTCACTAAGCACCTGTGAGGGAAAGCTGGATGTTCAGTGAATCATTGAGCCAGATAACATGCCTTACTGGCAGATCAGGTATAGGTACACTGTGTGATAGAGCAAAAATAGAGAGAAAAGGTTTAAAGATCACAATTTTCAACTAAGAGTAATACTGAATAAGAGAAGAGAAAGGATGCGGAGTAAAGGCCTAAACATAGATCTGATTGTCTGACACTAGGTGTCAGTGCACACCTTTTACTGCAAAGACCAAACAACAGAGACAGGGAATATGTCCGAAAATGAGGTTTGTGTTAAAGTCTTGAAGTATGGAACCCAATTATTTCAGGTTGATTATCACTTTTGACATTTATCTTTTTTAAAAATCACGGAAGAAGTAAAGTACTTCCTGCTATCTCATAGTATACGGTTTTTGAACTTTCAGGGAAATGTGTCATTATTATTATTATTATTATTGTAACATTATCGTTATTTTTGTTGTTGCTGCAGTATCTGTCTACAATATTTGTGTTGTTCAGCAACCTTTTCCAATCAAGACTGTTTGACGTCAGAGTTGAATGCGGTTGATGATGCTGATATGCTACCTTCAAGTACTCCTCGAAAGAACCTGTATTCAGTCTGCTAGATTGTGAATATATACAATTTGCTGATGCCTGTCCAAATGACTACAACCTTATTAGTGTCAATTAGCAATAATAACAAAAGCGATCAAAAACAATTAGTGTTTTTGATTGTAGGTTCCATGAAAAAAATGCTACCTTGTTATTGCATTTAAAAAAAATTTAATGGTTTTGTAGTTAATCGTGATCCATATCTATTCAAGAAAGGAAATACGTTTTATACCTTGTGTATAATGTTTAAAGCAATTCTATGATAAGTGTGACGGTGTGACATTTTTGACACTTTCAGCACCCGAAGGCAGCGCCACAGCCCCGCCGCTTCGGCTGGGAGGATACTACCATTCCGATTAGGGCAGCTGTTGCCAACGATGCAATGCCTCCTTCATGGAATGAACGCTGGGCATAGGCACCGTGTAGTGCCGTGGTCTTCTTGAAGAGGCTGCACCGTCCTGGTCTTTTGTGATTATTCGCCACAAACAAACAGCCCCGGAGCGCATAAGGTACCCAGTGAAGACTTGGACACGCGGGTTTATGGTTAGCGGAGAGAAGCTGGAGCGGTGAGCTGAGTGAACCGTAGTAACTTTAGCTTGCTATATGCTACATGCTAACTAAGGCTAGCTGGGTGGTATTGAAAGAAACACCTGTTCCCCCGAGTGACCAAAACGAAAAATGAGTTTGTGTTGAAAATTCTGTAGGGTGGGCTGGTGACGTTCCGTTGTTTCAAAGTGATTAACGTGAGTCATCCGGTAAGCTAACATAGGATCAATCAATGAACAACGAGCTACCCTCGTCCCCCGGGTGGGAGCTAACGTTAGTTGGTTGTGCTACCTCCGGGCCCGTTACACAGCTGAGTTACGAGCTTAAACTCTGCCGTTGTTGTAACAAGTATTTTTAAACATTTAATGTATGTATACATATTAGGAAAGTTCAATTTTTATCAGTACGAGGCAACGAGTTGGGATGCATTAGCTGGTGTAGCAGTTAGCAACCACCCTGTCAAAACAAGCCCAAGCTCACTGCATTCAGAAAGCTGAGTGGTTAAACACACCGGGTTTTGTGCTAACATATATATGTTCAGTACGCTTAGCTGAACTCAATTAATTCTGTCATGTAGCCAAGCCTATTCTGTATAACGCTGTATAAAGAGACAGGCAGATGCATTTAGGCTAGACTGACATGTCACCACAATGGAAAAAGGTGCTTCTCTCTGTTTTTTTAACATCAGCTTTTCTCATGACAGGCAATTAATGCATTTTGCTTGTTTGTGTCTTCTGCGCATTAGGAAGCTGGAACCATGGGTTTAACATTAAGCCTTTGATGAACTGAAATAAGCTGGACCCTCTTGACTCATCCAACCCGCTCCTGCCCATAGCGGGGGCTCCCCTTTCCCCCTCACCTTCCAGAGTTATGGCAGGCTTTAAGCGTGGCTACGATGGCAAGATCGCCGGCCTGTACGACCTGGACAAGACCCTGGGCCGTGGCCACTTCGCTGTAGTCAAGCTGGCACGCCATGTCTTCACTGGGGAGAAAGTGGCGGTGAAGGTGATTGACAAGACTAAGCTAGACACAGTGGCGACGGGCCATCTTTTCCAGGAGGTCCGCTGCATGAAGCTGGTGCAGCACCCCAACATTGTGCGCCTGTATGAAGTGATAGATACGCAGACGAAGCTTTATCTCATCCTGGAGCTTGGAGATGGAGGAGATATGTTTGACTACATTATGAAGCATGAGGAGGGCTTGAACGAAGAGTTGGCTAAGAAATATTTTGCCCAAATTGTCCACGCTATCTCCTACTGTCATCGGCTGCACGTGGTGCACAGGGACTTGAAACCCGAGAACGTGGTGTTCTTTGAAAAACAAGGGCTGGTCAAGCTCACTGACTTTGGATTCAGTAACAAGTTTCAGCCAGGAAAAAAGCTGACCACCAGCTGTGGATCTTTGGCATACTCAGCTCCTGAAATACTACTGGGTGATGAGTATGATGCTCCGGCTGTAGGTATGCAAAAGATGTTTGGCTGATGAATGATGGTAAAGAAATGAAATGAGTCACACAGCTAATTAGAACATTGTATTGGTGAGTTGCAGAGGTGTGTACTAGACAGGATGTGAATGTTGATGCAGTGCATTTTTAAAAGTGTAATGCACTCATTAAGTTTCAGCAGTCATTTTATCTTCCACTGAAGAGCACCGGGCCTGTTGCCTTGAGCACTAGTTCACTATCTTGTCCACTTTATTAACTCCCCTAGCTCTTCCAAAAAAGGAAAGGAAAAAAAGACAAAACTAAAAACATTGTCAGAAAACAGGCTTTTGGAATCAAACTGCACAGAACGTCTTTTCAAAGTCACGTTAATAGCCAGTTTTAGCACACAGCAGTGTGATGGGTGGGAATGTGGCTAGCACCTGTTTCACACAGTTTTGTCTCACCCTGCTGTGACACATCGGCACTTAGTCTTTATACGGAGCCTGAGCATGTGTTCGCTGTTGTTGTAAGATAACTTTAACTCAACAGTTATGAGCCCTGGGACTGTGTAACAGAACTTGTTTTAAATACCAAGGTGTGTGTTCCAGCACTGTGCTGCTGGGCATGGATCATTTTGAGAGCTGCCGTAGGCTACAAGGTCAGCCCAACTACAGCTGATGTCTGTGAGTGTCCCATTGCACTGAATTAACTGTCTCATTGATTTTCCTGTGAGGACTGACAGTGCAGACAGACACATTGCGTGTCCTTCCATGACATAATTATGATATTTGTCATATCAGGTGGCTTTGCTGAGACTAAAACCATGGGACTAAGTCCATCTCCTGAATTGGATAATGAGATGTACTCTGTTAAGCTTGTTTTTCAGACGGTGTGGGTGTGCATGCAGTCTTAATCCTAAAGGAGTCTGAAATCGGTCTCATGATTATTTATGCATGTAGAAAGGGCTCTCAAAGGTGTTCCTTCAAGGGCAGTCAGCTAGATGTTAATTTTCTTTTTCTTTTTCAAATGGAGTTCTCACAAACTTGAGAGGTGCAGTTGAGGCAATGAGGAAGCTGTGGTTACTTTCTCATTGAGCCGTACACACCCATGCAATCACAAACCACACACATGCTCATTTATCCTAAGACTTTGATATTGTACGCGTGACTGGACAGCGTTGTACCCTCTGCTCTGTGAACAGTTTGACTGCATGACTGCAGGGGATATCTGATTAAATGGCAGGCTTCATGTTATCGCTTGCTGCTGTTGGTGGCAAGCAACCAACATGCATTATCCATTAAAGTAAAGAGAAGACAATTTACTTTTTTCTTGTTATGCACTTCATCTAAAGAATGAATTAAGGTATAAACTAACAATGTGGGCCCCCAAAATTGTGGTATGAACCAAAACCATTGTTTGGGAGAAATTGTTACAACCCCAGTAGTAACCAGTCTGGAATGTTTATCAGTTTCATGGAGTCTTCAGTAGCATCCCTACAATTGTAGTATTCAGATTAGTCCACAATGCCGCTCACCTTACTGTTGAGCTAGATGGTGGGCCAGTCTGTGCTTTCTTCCAGCTGGTTGCTGTGTGAGATATACTTATTGGCACACATAGTAATTGCATAGGTACTACTTGTTCCTGTGTTTTCTAGCAGCAGCTCTCTCCAGTTGTTGGGTTGATGGTTATTCTGTGGTGGTTTGTTGTTGTTGTTTTTTTGTCGCTTTTTTTGTTTGTGTTTGTTTTGTTTTTTTAGTGTGGCCTTTGGATCCTGTGGTCAGAGCCATTAGCCACATGGATTGTTGCACTCTAAAATAGTGGAATGAGGAGAAAGTGCTTATTATTTGCACATGTGCAGGCAAGGCTTCTGAAAGGTTTACTTAGTATTCTAGTGGGTGTCCCTAAGAGAGCAGAGTCCTGTTCATCTCCTTGCACAGAACCAAAATCATATTAGATTGTGTTTGTTATGTATAATTCCACAGATTAAAAATGATGGTCTGTATATAGTATCAGTCCAGGCAGTGTATTTCAGTCACTACCACTTGGTTGTTTCATTACAGAGTATTGTTTCTTACTGTTATGGTCCAACTGATGGCGGGGTTAAACTTTGTACTAAGAGGGTTCAGCATTTTGTGCTCTTGGCACTCTTTAGCTGATGAAAAGCCCTTAACCTATGAAAGCCTTCCTGGCTACAAGCAGCCATTAATGAACCTTATCAACATATTTACTGGCTACTGTGTGTGCACAGAGCTGTTTTGCTGGATTTGGTTCCATCGCTAAAGCTTCAGGACTGTGTCTACAGAGAGCAGCCAGAGGGGCTCTTAATTGCAGTCCTGGTTACTGTTGCCCACTGCCAGTAGATGGGAAGGACAGTTAATCCATGCTATTGTTTGGACTGGGCCAGGAGAGGATGAGAAAGAAGCAGGATGCAGCTATTTATGCAGTCCTGTGTTGACACAGACTGACTGGCTTTGACTAGAACTCATTCAGCTTGTTCCCACCACTGGGCCCAGGACCATGTTTTCTCATTATGTTCACCATTTTCCACTGAGAAAAAGGATCTTCACATCTTTTTTCTCAGGATCAATATAAGATATCATAAATGGAAATGAATAAATGGGGAAAAAAAAAAAACAACGAATGTCTTTCCTGCAATTCCTCTGGACAGAACTGTTATTTTCTTACTTAATGTGTGAAAGCACACTCCCCCTTATAAAGCTAGTCCTTTTAACTCATCGTTAAAGATGTGTGAAAGAGCTTGGTTACACAGAACCTTCTTTGGCTGCCTCCTTCCTTTTGTTTTATTAGCATCATTGTTGAGCCAGTGGAAGAAAAAGGCATCATATACAGCAAATGTTTTCTGGTTTTTATTAATGATTGTGTTTTTGCTCTGTGCTGGTTTGAGTCTCAGTCAATTTGTCATATCTCCACTCTGGGCTTGTTTCATGTCTTTGAACCCCCTTTATTGAAACTAAAGCCTGGTTTATTGCTGTAGCACAGAGCATGCTTTTCTTTAACGTAACCACTAAATAGGAGACTGAAGGAGCTGTGTACCCCTCCTGATTTGCAGATGATTTTGCAAATCAGACAGAAGATTTTCCTTGTCGCTGGATTTGGATTTAAAAAAAAAAAAAAAAAATCTACATTGTTCATTTCTTCACTTTCCATTTTGTCTTTGCAGTTTATTTGCTCTGTGTCTGCATCATTTGGTAACCAGCTGGATACAAGCATGCTTCCCAATTCCACACATAAAACACACAAAGTAGTACAATAGTTTCACAGTCCCTTGGACTTGTCAGTGTTTCACAACTTATTCCTCTTTTGCTCTAGTACCTACTCGACTCCACTTGACTCTACTCGGTTTCCGTTGTTTTCCATTCCCATTATTGAGTACCACCTCAATGTGCATGGGGCTGTTATAGCAACGTGTCTGAACATCTGGGACGTCATTTGTTTGCAATGCAAACACCACACAACAATGGCCATAGACTGCTGCTCAGTCAACTGCTTTTTGTCCGGCTCAGGGACCACGGTGTTGGTTTGTGTGCAGCCATTTCCCTTGTTGCCCGGTTTTAAAAATGGCAGTTTTGATTATTGTGAAGATGTTGCTCTCGATGACTATCGAGTGATGCCACTGACTGGGCAATTGGTGGCATGCAGTCTGTTGATGTCACATATTCGTATTGACGCAGCTTGCTTGGAACACTAGCCAAGCAGGTACTGAAAAAGTACCTGGTACCAGGTACTGCCACCTAATAGAAAACCTTAAAAGTTGAGCTAAACTGAGTAGGTACTAGTGGAAAAGAGGCATTAGTGTATCAGCCTGACTGAAGGAAGGTTTGTGGGAATTTTGTGTGGCCAAACAGGCTCCTCAGAGGTGCACAGCTGGGCAGAATCACTGTATTAGTAAAAGATATGTCATAGTGATGCTTTATGTTTGTATAAGTACCAACACACAGTATTGTTTTTTGTTTGTTTGTTTGTTTTTTAATAGCGATGCACTTTTAGTGTTTATTTAAAAAAAAAAAAAAAAAAAATCTGATAGCTGATGCCAAGAGTGCCCAACGACCCCCAGAGGTCAAGTTAGGCACCAAAGTAGTACCAATACCAAAACTGATGATTTGTTTTCATTACAACATGTAGATGTCAGCCTGCGTTTATTACAATGTGGTGGCCTCAGCCTGTTGTGACATCATTGTCACGTCGCAATGCGTCGTACTAAAAACATAAAAAGTGTATTGTACAGCTGTCTCCATGCCCTTTCCATAAATTACTCGATATGGTTTCTTTAAATGTTTTTTCAAGGTCAATTTTGACCGTGGACCCTAACAGTGAAGGTCAAGGTCAAATGCATCTTCTGTAATTGTATGCAGATTCAAGTCCTACTCATGCATACATGCTTCAAATGTGAAGGTCTGCATTGTTTATTTTGGGGCAGTAAACAGTGTAGCATGCAGCAAATTTATGAGATTGCTAAAATGGCACAGCATGTAGCCATCTTAAGAATGTTTCCAAAGATGCTGTGAAATTTGTATCCATTTGTCATGAATTTTGGAAGAAAACAACATTTGTGATGGTCGCTGTAGATACAGCGGGTTGGGTTGGGCTGTTATTGACATATTCCTTTTTTCAGAAGGTTTTAATGACATAATTGTCTGTAGAAGGCTGGGGTGGTATTTTTAGATAAAACACAAAAGAATTACAACTTGTAATTATAATTACTCAATTTCACCAATCAGTTGTATCCATGACGGATTACGTAGCACTTACCACAAAGTCATATTGTGACTGATTTCACTCACTGTCTGCAGAGCTGCTAATTTTTCTGTAGTGTGTAGAAGTAAAGTTGTATAAAGCGACTCTGGCACACACAGCAAAATGCTCATTTTCTGCTGTCAGTTTGTAGGGTTTTGAACTTGAACTTGCATCAGTTATGGTCTCTTCCTTGAATGTAATCACACTGTCTGAAGACTTTATTGCATTTGGTTTAACAACACCATTACATTTGTACTTTGTCCGTTGATATGCAATATCTT